GTTCAAACAGAGGCCTGCCTGCAGGGATGACAGAGAAGAAACTGTCCTGGCTAACCATTTCTTACCTGAAAAGTTCTTAATGTCATTAGTAAACCCCATGATTGTGAGTGTCGACTGTGAGTTCTGTGAATTATCAAACCTAACCATAGGACAGAGTGCTGTGAGGGAACAGTATAACAAAGGAGGGACAGGGGAGGCATGTTGACCTCTGACTTGTAGCAATTAACCCCAGAAGGCAGGGGAGGTCACACAGGTCCAGCACATAGTTTCTACAATTGCACTAGGAGCAGGATTAGTCTCGTATTCATTTTTTTCTAAAAGAAATTATTTATGAATTACAAAACTATAGAACCTTTACTAAATGCAAATACTAAAATGTGAAGCTGTTATTTCTTGACATATTGTCTCTCTAGTTCTGGAGACTTCTCTAGCCCTTCCTCCAAAGAATTCTGCACTCTTTAATTTACACCAGGTCAAAATGGCAGTTCTGACATTCTCAAGGTACTCAAATTGTGTGCCTTTTAAATGTTCTTTGAGTTTGGGAATTAAAGTAAAGTCTGATGGAGCAAGATCAAGGGTGTAGGCTGGGTGGGGTAAGGTTTCCCCAAATTCTCATAAGATAGCCTCTGCTCCCCTACAAGAATGAACAGGTACATTGTTCTGGTGCAGGTACAATGTAGTTTTCCGTTTCCTTAAAGTATCTTTTTAATCAGCCCATGTGATCATCCTGTATCCTTGAAGAAAATCTATCAAAATTACCCTCTTTGGAATTCTAAAGAGTTGTAATAACCTTTGGAGCTGACATCTTGGCCTAGAATGAGCGCAGGCCAAGAAGAACCCCTGTGAAGGCACTGCTCAGAAGGGACCTTGCTCTACGGATGGTAGAGGCAAATTCAAGACTCGTCCTGGTTACGTTTTTAGTCCTGTGAAACGGTCTGCCTTGCCCTCGGGCTTGCCTAAAGGACTGATGGGAAGCTCAGCTCACTGAGACAGCTCATCTCTGCACAACACTTGCGGCACCCATGGAGTCGAAAGTGTGCCGAGATCGCGATGTTTGCTTAAAATTGTAAATGCTGAACCACAGGAGACCCCAGCTTCAGTAACGATGGTGTCAATAACAACTCTGCGGTCTTTTCCCACCTGTAAGACGTCAGTCACAATTTCATGGCGACTGACAGTTTTCTCTCTCTCGGCTCATTTTGAGACCTTCCTGACCTTCCTTAAAACCCTCGATTTATGTAACAATGTTTGCTTTACGCAGTGCAGCCATCATTCCTGTAAAAGTATTGCAAGCCTTCAATGATTTGGGAAGGTGTCCACTTGAGTTTTGTTAAAAGTTGGATATCAGCCCTGACCTCAAAATCATTTTCCCCTCCTGTTAGAAGGCACCATAACAAGACTGTGCCATGTGTTTTACTGAGAGGACCTGTCTGCAGCCACCCACTGATGGCAGAGCCGTGTTTAAACCTGCTTTGTTCACAATAAACCTGGGATGTAGGAAGGGCCCCCTCGTAGCCGCACTTTTTGGCTTACCCAGGTACATCCATCATCTGCTTGGGGGTATGGGAAAGATTTTCTCCGGGCAATGGTAATACTAAGTGAATTTATGTGAGTCGCACCACCTAGGCCGGGGGTTAGCAAACTGCCTCTCTCGAGCCACATGCCGCTCTTTCGATACATGCATGTGGCTCTCAAGAAAAATTTTAAATAATTTCAGGATAGTACTCAGATAATGGTATCTCAATTGTTTGTAAAACGCTATTTCTGGCTTTCAAATAATTTTAAAATTGTTGTGAGGGACAGAATTGGCTCTTCTGTCTCAAACGTTTGCAGACCCCTGATCTAGGCCGCCATTTTTTCTCGTTTAAATCCCCTGATAACACATAGTTCGTCCAGTCAGATTCCCCCATGTACCTCTGGGGATCTAGCTTCTCAGGCTGTAGAGATGGTTACCAGGCTTTCATGAAGTAACCCACTTTCCCCCTGATCCCTATCTAATGGCTTGCTGATTATTCGGAACGGTTTCTGTGAAGATCGTTTCAGCATAACATGCTCGCCAGTGGAATTCTTTATTCCCAGGGATATCTGTGGCATTTCACCATTCATATTCTGCAAGCCTTTGGTCACAGCTATAAGCTGAAACTGTCCGACCTAACTGCATAATGACGGAACCTGGATGTAGGGAACATGCTGCTAACAGCTATTCAAAGGGAGGAAAGGTTAGGCTGGTCGTTTGGAGCTCCCTGGTTGCAAGTGAGTGATATGGTTTTCTACTATAATAGACGGCGGCCTTGGGGGAAGTATGTAACTGTACTGCTCAGCACTGTAATGAATCCATCAATTTATGCTTTTACCATCAAACGATGTAAAAAATGCACAGAACTTTAATAAACCAGTACTACATGGGTCGTTTTACGAAGACATACATGAATATAGAAGAAAGAATTGTTTTAGTCACACGCATTCAAGGACTATTTCAAGTTATATGCTTTATCATTGTTATGTCACAGCTTTCTCATTGCACAATTCTTGTGTAAAATTTCAATGAGTACCTGGAATAATTATTCTCCAAGAACTTACACAACTATCTAATTTTTCAGCAGAGCAATATGAAACATGTACAGATACTCTCATACTTTCAACAATTTAGTGTAATTTGATGTGTTGTTTTGTGCATATCCAAAAAATTTCCAACAAGTTTTTCCAGGAAAACTGCCAGATTTTAAGTAGTTTTATGGCACATTTAAATAAGTGCAAGGTCTGTGTACTCATTTTTCCCGCCCCCGCCCAGCTGAGGCCAGTTTGCCCCATTCACTATTGATTAAAGCACGTCACCTGGTCAAATCTATCTTCTGGGGAGTGCGGAGTGCACTCCCTGCCGATGTCCAGGAAAGGCAAGACAAGGGCAATGCCAGCTAGTCATGCTACTCCGCTACCTGAGACGTAAGAGGAAGTTACGTTCAAAGCGCTCTTGATTGCACAAATGAATATTTTATGGATTTCTGCTTTATAACAAATTGCTGGTTGACTTGGGTTTTCTGAACTATTTTTTGAAGACAGTCTCAATATGCCATAAAATACATAATTTGTCATTTGAAAACTCTTTGTTGCTCAGAGAACTTTTCAACAATAATGACAATTTTCCCAGGAACCAATCATTCACTTTCCTGCTGGTCTCTCTTCCAGTCCATGACTGTCATCACAATCTAAATATAGTAGAAACCCAGTGCTCGACCGCATCAGTACTCGACATAATCCGATTTCGACGGGAAATGTTGAGAAAAATTGGCATCGGAGCTTGAGCAAAACATCGGAATCCGACCTGACGCACGTGATTTTTGTAAACAAAAGCAGTTCAAGTTTCGGTCACGCAGCGATAGTTGGCGTTGTTAGTACGTGTTGTTTAAGCCTTTTGCAGCTGTGTGGCAAGTGTTTTGCTATTCTTAGTTTTTATGGCTCTTTCTACCGTTTTTAGATTTTAAAAAAACATGGGTCCTAAGAAAGAGTTTTTTGAAAAGAATCATGATAAGGAACTGGTTAACTATATTATCAATATTGTTGATCATAATTTAGCAAACCTTTTTAAAAAACAGTTAAGGAAAGACCAACAGCAGACTACATTATATATATATATAAACTGTAGTTGTTGTGTTTCTTATTTAAATACTATTATTTAACTCTGAATGTATTTACTTCGAAATTTGTGTAATGTTCTGTATAAAAAGGCAAGGTTCGGGTAAAAACTGGTGGTCGAGAACGGATTAATCCATTTTCAGTTATTTCTTATGGGAAAAATTGATTCAGAACTCGACTGCATCGCATCCCGAGGCTTCTTCTAGAAGGGGTTAGCGTCACGGTCCAGGTCCCACTGTACTGCACCTGCTAGTGTGCTGTAGTCATTCCATACTGCTACAGTGGTGGATGCTCGTGGGATACGTACAATGGAGATTTTCACTCAAATCAGTGTCTAGAGTATCTAATCTAAAGTCAAGCCAAACCTCCTGCAGTCCAGTCCGTTTCGACTCTTCAAAGCAATCCTACAGGGCAGGGTGAAAGCCTGCGCAGGTGAGTTTACAAGGAGACCATCTCTACAGAACCAGGGGACGCCAGCTTCTGCCTGCGCAGCTGCTGTTGGGTTGGTACCAGAGACCTTTTCTGTTTACCAGCCAAACTTTCCAACCACCAGTGCTCCTTCTAGAAAATACAGTCATCCTTTTCTAAATTCAAATATGCATTCAATCCAATTCCCACCTTTCACTCTTATTTAAAGAAGATAAGCCAATCCTTAGAGCACCTGTAAAAAACTCTTGAATCCTTGGGTTATTTCCTAAAAGGACAATGGATCTTGGGGGGGGGGGGGGCGGGAACTACCTATTTTTAAGGAAGTCAATCTCAAGGTATCATGTATTCAAACATAACAAGCACACTGAAAATTCTGGAGATAGAAAATAGAGACCAGCTGAAGGACGTATGGCTGTTAAATAGTTCAAATCATGTGATTATAGCTAATGGTGTCAAGTTTTTAAAGTACTGTATTTCAAGGAGGTTAATTTGAATATAAAAGTATGTTTTACAAAATCAAGAGCTGAGGACATGACACAGTAAGGTAAGATAAGCCTGCATTTTGTGAAATTTATTCTGCAGATTCCGTTTAATGGCAAGTTCCTTGTTCTCGTAAATAAAATAAATACATGAAAATTAATGCTTCAAAGATTTTCACAATAAATAAGCAAATGAATAATACCTGTACTGAACTTTAAGGTGCTGAAACACCTAGCTCAACTCTGAATGGTGACTATTAATGGAAGACAAGAAAAACAAAAATGCACATTCAAAATTGAGCCATTGCCAAGAAAATGACATTCAGAAAATTTATAGTGGTTTAGGAAAAATTTGGAGGTTGCTGCAGGGAATCTACTAACACTTACTACACACAGGCAAAAAAAAAAAAAAAATATATATATATATATATATGTTTGGTATGTTTAAATGTGTCCTACCTTTAGTCTGACAGCATCACCGTCTTCCTCAAGCTTTCCTTCTTCAATAACTGCCAGAGACCCTCCTTCTGGTTGTTTCGACTCCTCTTGCTCCTCTTGGCTGGCTGTTTCTTCTATCCTACTTTGATCTTGATCTGTGGTAATGTCAGTTACTGCAGAAGCAAGTCGTTCTGCTTTTAACGGTCTTAGAGTAGAGCACAGTGGAGTGACGTGATCGTAGTGGGTATGTAGGAGTCTTAGCGCAATGTCACAGGTTGCTAGCATCCTGGGGATTTCAAATCCAACCTGGGTTCCAGAGAATTTGATACTTTTGTACCTGTTAGTAATTAATTTTAACACATAAGACGAGGCCCTGGGAAACTCTAGATCTGCTGCAAGCACAAGGATATACCTAATCACTATGTCTCTCTACTTTAATTTCATTCTAGTTTTGAGTCACACCCTACTTGCTCTCTGTGTCGCATTTGTTGCACCTGGTTGCCAATGGCTTCTTTCTCAAAATACTCTGCTGGGCTCCAGGGCTCCATACTTTTTCCTCCACCTGTGGCAACTCTATCCCAGTTTGTAAAACATCATCCTACTCATCCCCTCAGTGTTAATATCACTCAGTCCAAAGTTCTTTTCTTCACCTTACACACAATATCCCTGGGATGTTCTCTAAAGCAAACTCACTGCCATTGAAGGGGTGCTGACTCATAGTGACCCTATAGGACAGGGTAGAACTGCCCCTGTGAGTTTCCCAGACTATAACTCTTTACAGGAGTAGAAAGCCTCCTCTTTCTCTTGAGGAGCGGCTGGTGGTTTTGAACCGCTGTCCTTGCTGTTAGTGACCCAGTGTGTAATTACTTCAATTACTATTTAAATCAGAAGTTTTAATGTGAGTCCTAGGATTCCTTGTGTGAAGTTAAAAACTCACACAAAGTTTTTAAGATGCATTCTATGGCTCCTGGTGTGAGGTGGTGGGAAAAGATATCTCTGGATGAACTTAACTCAAAAAAATGGCCTTACATCTCTGTCAGCATATGGAAATTATTTGGTGCCTGAAGGAGTCTATGATTCCCCCCAAATTAAGAACCATTTGTTGATGACTCCCAAAGTATATGCCCAGTTTTCTTCTAATGCCTTCAAACAGTTATCCTGTGATATCTCATAGATAAAGCAAAGTCAACAAGTTTAACCCTCAATTTACCATCTGTACAAGCACAACTAAACTAAAACTTATTCTGCCTCCATGATTCCTTATTTTAGTAAAAGACATTACCTACGGTACTTCTTTTCTTAAACCTGAGTGGTTAACACAGGCTTGTTCGTATAATTTTTATTCTTTTAAAAGAATACAGATTTATCTGCTTTATTCTTTGGTAAGTTATAATTTTACAATGAAAAGGAACAATGCATTGTGTCTTTTATTATAATTAAAGCCACAGAGTAGCAAATTAGAACTTAGGAATTTTTCATTCCTTCCCTTTGTCAAATATGGAAAGAAAAGTAGGAATTTCCTATGTCATCTAACTAGTCCTTTCAGAGCTGGGATTAGAATGGTAGCCTCTTAATTTTCATTTGGTAATTTTTCCTTAAAACTCTTTGACCTCCTGTGTGATCATGAGGTGTCAATGGGATCAGTTATCAGGCATTAAAAACTCCCCCCCAAAATCATATTGATGTGAATGAAGGGGAGGGGGAAGTGGAGTCTCAAAGCCCATCTGTAGACAATTGGACATCTCCTTACAGAAAGGTCACAAGGAAGAGACAAGCCAGTCAGGGTGCAGTATAGCACCAATGAAACACACAACTTTCCTTTAGTTCTTTAATGCTTCCTCCCCCCCAGCCCCACCCCACTATCATGACCCCAATTCTATCTGACAAATCTGGCTAGATCAGAGCATGTACACTGGTACAGATAAGAGCTTGCAACACAGGGAATCCAGGACAGAGAAACCCCTCAGGACCAATAATGAGAGTAGCAATACCAGGAGGGGAAGGTGAGGGGAAGGGAGAAAGGAGGAACCCATCACAATGATCTACATATAACCCCCTCCCAGGGGGACGGACAACAGAAAAGTGGGTGAAGGGAGACAGCGGTCAGTCTAAGACATGAAAAAAACTTTTGATAAATTAACAATGATGCATGAGGGAGGGGATGAGCTGATACCAAAGGCTCAAGGAGAAAGAAAATGTTATGAAAATTATGGCAACATATGTACAAATGTGCTTGACACAATTGATGTATGGATGGATTGTGATAAGAGCTGTGAGAGCCCCCAATAAAACCATTAAAACAATGATTTGCCCTGAGTCAATTTGAACTGTTTGAGATTAAGCAGTAACCAAGTGACGATGAATTTGTCATTCTCACCATTATTCCCTAGAGACAGGTTGGTTTGTTGAAAACCACTGGGGAAACCTCACTTTAATATCTTAAAAATTGTAAAAATGAACATGCATTCTATGTAACAGTTAACAAAGATTGTGTGTGTGTGTGTCTGCATGTGTGTCTTTTAAGTTCCAGATTGCCACGTCAAAGAACCTACATCTTCTCCTTGGGTATTGATTTTATGTTCTAGGGGTGGAGGAGCAGGACGATGGGGAGAGATCTGATATTGATTGAATGTAGACTAGTACTAGGGGCCATGCTATGATGTTTACATACATTGTTTAATCTTTAATCCTATCAAGTTATATGAGCATCATTTTACTGAGACTAAACCTGAAGTTCAACACAGTTAAATAAGGTGCCCAAGGTAAATGGCAAGTCTTGAATTCAGACCCCAATCAGCCCACTTCCTAATGTGTTGTTATGCAGCTAGCCTTCTTGCCTGGCAGTCACGATGGCCCTAATGTCTTTTGTGTCCAGGGAAAACAGCACCATGGGAATACCTTGGGTTCTTCTTGAGGTTTGCCCACACATAAAGAGTAACATTTTCATCTTGAATAATTTTTTCCATATTTCCACTGTCCAGATCTGCCAAAGTACTAGCTTGCTATAAGATAAAGAAACCATTAAAGGGGGTTAGAGGTCTAATAAATCATGCCATTTATGTTACTTCATCATGTATATCTTGGATTCCCTTTATTTCCTAGGGTAACCTGGGTGAAGATTAAAAAAAAAAAAAAAGATTGTATTACAATCAGTCAGACTGCCTTCTGGCCGACCCCCTACTAAGGATTTTAATTTCCAACCCTAGCAACTTCTCAGCAGGGGCCACACAGGCGTGAGAACGGCTCCTCTTGTCAAAACGCAGATTCTGATTCAGTACATAGGAGGTGAAAGTGCAAATCCTCAGCAGGGGGTCACACCACAACACACCTGAATCAAAATGACCAAGAATTTTTTTAATGTCCCTAAGGGATATAAATACATTTATGTAATTGAACAGCCTTTCCTTTTTCTACTTTGCTTCTCCTAAAAATGTTTAAGGATTTAAGTTGCTCCTATATTACCAGTCAACGTTTGTGGACGATACCATTATCTTTTCCCAAACTTAACATTACAATCATCACACTTCATTTTAAATGTACACAAGCCTCTTTATCTATACTTTATCAAAATGTGGGCTTCACGACTGTAAAAGTTAGCCTATTTCTGAATATATCAAGTGCAGAAGGCAACATATCTAGCTGAAGGAGTTTGGAAAAGGCATGTGTTTTACTAGTCTCATACTTGATATCTGATGTTCAATATACAGTTTAAGGAGGTTCTTTTACCTCACATGCCCCAGGCCTGAAATCAACCTTTTACGACAATTAGTCCTGCTTCTTTTTTAGGAAATAAAAAGAAACCTGCTTCAGATTGATATTTCCATTTCAAATTTAACATGCCATGAGTTTTTTCCTAATCTTTTATATTTTCTCTTGTCGTGAAAATCTTGATAGTAATCCTAACACATTCCCTTGCCTTTTCAATTTACATAAAATAGTTGCCAGAAGTGGTATCGACATCACTGCACCAATAAGCTCAGTGGCGTGTGAGCCGCCTTTGCTGTCCTGTTTCCCTCCCCTCACCAAGACTTTGGTCCACCTCCCAACGGCCAAAAGTACAAACTTAGACTGGGTTCTGATACAAAAATCCACCTGAAACAAAATTCAAACAGCTTAAAAAGATCTTCATAAAGAAGTAGGGACAATTTAAAAATGGAGGTGATGTTAAGGAACATGACAGAGTTACCACCTTTTTTAGATCTAATAATAGTTTTGTGGTTATTTGCAGATTATCATGAGTGTTGGCATATTTGAAAGAAAAGTATCATAATAGCTACAATTTTCGAATAATACCCACTGTTATAGGGCTGATTCTAACTCATAGAGACCCTATAGGAAATGCTCAATTTTCAAATAATACCCACTGTTATAGGGCTGATTCTAACTATAGAGACCCTATAGGAAATGCTCCATAGGCTTTCCAAGACTGTTCAACTTTTCAGAAGCAGACAGTCTTCTCTCCTTCCCCTGGACCACTGACAGCGCAGTGAACATGCCATGCTAACCCACCGTGCTGCCAGGGTTGACTGGGGGAAGGTAGAGAAATCAAGCAACTATTACAAAACCTTTTAAAATTGCTGAATTTAGAGAGGATATGGGAGCTCATGGTACTGTTCTTTCAACTTTTCTTTGTTTCTTTTCCAGCTTGAAAAAAGTTGAGAAAAATAGAGAGACTACACTCATCATAATCTTGTCCAACTGATCTATCTAGTGTGAATTTATGCAAGTTTGGGAATTTATTTTCAAAGTGGACCTTGGTAGGTATAAGGAAAAACTAGACTTAGTAAAAAAGTAAAATATTGGCAGCTGTTAAAGCTGCCTAAATGCATTTGCTTTATATTATCCGACTAACTTTTCCACAACTTTAATCTCTCAAAAAAAGAATGAAAAGTGATACTGGATTATTTTATTATGTCCATTAAATTTCAACTCTTACAAAGATAAAATAATGTGCGACTGAACGGTGACACTTACTCTGAGAAGCAGTCCTGTGGCGACATTAAACTTAGCGTGGAGGAGCTCCTTTAATTCTTCAATTGACCCTTCATACTGTTTCACATTTTTATCTTGCAAATCATATGATGGGGTTTCCAGCAAAATTAATGTCAGTTTCTCAATTAACTAAAAAGTAGAAAAATATTTGCAAAGAATCAAAGAAAAGGGGGAAAGGGAACGTTCTGCCAACTGGAAGCAATCTTATGCCAGTAAAACATAAAAAATTCTTTCCTGTATTAATTCTGTAATTTAGATCACAGAAAAAGAAATATTTCCTCCCAACACTCTTACATGAAATTTTCAATGACATGTAACAGAGTTGTAAAGACATTATGTTATCATTACTGAGTTGATAGAAATGTTACCATTTCTTGTAACCTAAGGCTGTGGAATTGTAGCTCTAACAGCATGGAGGCGGGGAATAAGAAAAGGAAAAAAGGAACAAAATAATTTCTAACATTTACTGAGCTCTTACTAAACGCTTTATATGTTTTATTCAATTTAACTCTGATTACAACCCTATGAGGTAGATGCTGTTTACTGTGCTCATTTTACAAATGAGGAGACAGAGGCACAGCATGATCAAGCAACAGCTAGTAAGTGGCAAAGTGGAAATTTCAACATGGACACAGGCAATACATCTAAAAAGTATAAATTAAGCACTCTACTTCTCTGCTGGGTTCATGAATTAATATCCATGGCCACAAAAGTCTTAGAGACCACACTTAAGATTATGGAGTTTATTAGAGAAGTTATTAAATTATAATTCAGGCTTAGAAATGTTCAGGGTACAGTTCTTTGGTGAGGACAGCTTAATCCCTGCTATGCCGCAAGGCAAGCCTCTCTCTGACTCTCAACCTTTTGGCCTGCCTCTGCCATGCTCAGGCAATGTTACAAAGCTCTTCTACAACTGGCTACAATGCCCGAAGGGCACACCATGCTCATAAGCCTCGGCCCAAAGGCACTCAACTCTAGTTCTGTGGTTCTGCAAACCTAGGTTTTCCCAGCGAAGTGCCTAGAAGCATTCAGCTCTACGCCTGACCCTGCAAGCATGGCTCCTGCCCAAAGGCGGAACTCAGCTCTACCCACTCTGGGCTGGGAGGCCCATCACTCTGTCTTGTGTTCTGGTTCCTGGTTCTGTTGCTGCTCTGCCATTCCTTTGGCGTCACAGCTTTCTGCCTCGTGGATGTAGCTGGCTCAATGTGCAGGAATCTCGGTGTTTAAAGGGCACACTTCACTTCTGGCTCTTCTTAATGGTAGTGAGGCACCCTCCTCTGCTTCTGAGACGGCTCATGTTGTACCCAGCAGGAGGGCAAAGTGGACCAATTCCCACGTTAGAGTTCACAACCCGTGGACAACTACAACTAAATCATAAAATCCTGTCAGCATCTTCCCTCAACTCCGCAAGTAAGGAGGAAATACACCCAATCCACACTGCCACCACCACCACACAACTAAATTATATAATCCTGTCAGCATCTTCCCTCAACTCCGCAAGTAAGGAGGAAATACACCCAATCCACACTGCCACCACCACCACACCCCTTTCCAAGTTGTTTTGGGGGAATTACGACAACTGTGGCTAGAAGAGCCACACTAAGTAATTCACTGGATCAGGGGAAGCCTCCCTGGTAAAAAGATCCACAACAAAGAGCACTTGTATAATGAACTTGTAGGTGTCCCTAATTGCTCACATGTATGGGAGACTCTTTGGGTTTTTGAAGTTAGAATAAGACTCACCTTTTCTCAGTAGGGATTCAGAAGACACTTCAGGGAAGTTATTCGATCCATGTCTCTTCATGTGTAAAACAAATCTAATATTCTTATTCATCTTAAATCAGTCGATATATTGTTCTGAATTAAACAGAGTGCCTAGTACTTAGTAAGCACTCAATAAATATCAACTGCAGTCATCTCCTTAAAGAATTACGAAGTTAAAATTTCATCTCCATTATATGTACCTCTAAGTTTAGATTTTCAAATTTGGAATCTGGAGTCACACTATTTTATAGCAACACGGAGATGCTAATCACAGCAATGGTGACAAGCAGCAAAAGCACCCGAGGTTAATAACAGAAACAAGAGGAGCATCATCCAATTAGTTCCATTATTATGTCAGTGTGCATAGGTGTGGATTGCTTCCTACTTATACTGGGGATTCTCTGGGCTCCTGAATATGAGGATTAATAGCTTATAAATTCTGGAAAATTATTAACTAGTATCTATTTGAATATTGCTTCTCCTCCATTCGATATCTCCTTCTGGTATTCCTTTTCAATGTAATTGTAGCTTTTCTTTTTCATTAGACATGTTTATTAACTGCTCTTTCATATTTGTCATATTTTTATATTTCTATGCTGCATTCTGGAACATTCTTCCAACTCAACTGAGGCACCTTTTACCTCTTCAGTTGCACTTACTATTTAGCTTAGTCACTAGTTTCGGTTAGTAAAACTTTCGTTTCTGTCATTACTGTTTCTTCTTCAGTTCTTTCAGAATCCGCTTCTTTAAACACATCAATACATTTACATTCTGAACTCACTCGTTCTAACATTTATAGTATTTTTAATTGTGATCCTGGGTTTGGTGTTTCTGATGGCTCCTGGATTGTTTTCATTCCATCCTCCCCACCCCTCCCCTTCCTGCCTCTGTCCTCTCCTAGAGGAGCCCTGGTGGTGTAGTGTTTATGGGTTGGGCTGCTAACCTCAAGGTCAGAAGTTCAAAACCACCAGTCATTCTGAGGAAGAAAGACGAGGCTTTCTACTCCATAAAGTGTTAAAGTCTTGGAAACCCACAGGGCCCAGTCTACCCTGCCCTATAAGGCTACTGTGAGTCAGCATCAATTCAGCGGCAGTGAGTGAGTGAGCTTGACAGGTCAGAATTGACTCAGTGGTAGTGGGCTTCACTGTTGAGAGGTAGCAGACACTCTCTGGGAAGTCACTGCTTCAGGATTTGCTGACTCTTCTAAACTATTTTATGCCCTTTGGGATTTTCCCTTACATTTAATTGAGCTAGGCAGTGCATTTAAATGTTATTATTGTTGTTATTATTATTATTATAGCCAGAATTTTAAAGCATTCTAACATCATAAAATGGAAACTTCTCAGGCTGGTCTAACTCACTTGCCGAAATGAGGATCTTCTGATTCATTTTTTTCTAATTATTAATAAATCATTTTATTGGCGACTCTTACAGCTCTTATAACAATTCACACATCAGTTGTACCAAACATCTTCTGATTCATCTTTGTATTCAAGTGTCTAAAAGGGTACGGTACCTGGCCCACAGTAAACCTTAGAAACATTTTTCCTGAATTACTGAATAGTCAACCATTTCAGTTGAGGAAAAAAAAAAAATCAATGAGTGTTGTATTTTCCCATCTCCTCCCTCTGCCCCTGCCACTGCAATACAAAAATGATCTACATAAGTATATACTGCTTGATTTTTTTTTTAAAAATGGGTTACCTTACAACCCAGCAATTCCACTCCTGTACATATACCCAGAAGAAATAAGAAAACAGAACACGACCAGACATCTGCGCTCCAATATTCATTGCAGCACAGTTCACAATTGCAAAGAATTGGAAACAGCCTAAATGTCCCCCAGGAGACTAATGGATTAAAAATTCTGGTATATTCACATGATAGTACATATCCCTAAAAAATAGTGCTGAAAAGGTGAAGCACCTTGTCTCGTGGAAAGGGTTGGAGGATACTATGCTGAGTGAAGTTAGCCAAGCAAAAAGGACAAGTACAGCATGTGCCCACTGAGGTCAGTCCAAACAACAGAAAGGGCGTAGAGATAAATGCACATAACTCACAGTTTCTGGGCTGAGGATCAGACTCTCTGGCAAGACCCAGACCAAATGCAATGATGCATACGCCATCAAAGATAAATAATCTACAAAAGAATGCAGATAGCACCTGTGCAGAAAGACATCTCCCCTCACCCCTCATATGCCTTTATGTGCCCCCAACAGATGGCAATGGGGGAACAAGGCACTAATCCACCCAAGAGGACGATGTTTATGTCTCCCCAGGAAAAGGAGAGAGCAGACCTCATTCTGGTTTACCAATGCTAGAGGGCAATGTCCCTACTTGAGCAGTTCGTTCAGAGAGGACTGCTGGGCAGTCCTCAGCTCAAGACATGACGTCCCCTCCCTAAATGACAGTGCTACAGAGGACAGCCCTAAGACATAGTTCAGGGAGAATGGCCAGTCTGACTGGCACACATGGGGGTAAACCAAGAGGGGAGTGCAATAGACCAGGAATGGGAGCAAAGCCACAAAGTCCCCGAGGAATTCCGATTGGGTGGGTGGGTGGGGGGACTGAGGGGTTGGAGGTAGGGGTGCTCAGCACTGCATCTGAACTGGTTGGGGGTTACTCATAAGGGGGCCACCTGGGAAGCCTAAAGGTGTAAAGGGGTGCAGAGGCAAAAGTCCGCTCCATCCTTGATGGCAGGAAGAGCAATGGGAACTTGTAGGAGGCGTGGCTTTTGGACACGAAGGCTGAGGACTAAAAGGGATCAGTGCTGTTAGGAAGCAGGTCCGGGATATGGAACCCGGAAAGAAGGAGATTGGGCTGATGGATTATAACAGGTCCTGCTCGCTACTTAACAGAGAGATTCATCTATTCTGGATCAGGACACCAGTTAGACTTGGAACTATTTGTATGTTCTTCCTCTCTTTTTTGTGGGGAGGGGGTGTTTATCTATATAAGATGGGCAGAATAAGCAAGCCCAAGGAGACAGTGACGAGACCCACGGTTGGAGCTGGGGCACAGGAAGGGAGGTGCGGGGGGGAGGTGAGTGATGAGCCAATAACAACAGAGACAGAAGAGAGCAAGGGTTATAGTGTTTAATCAATTGAAAGGTATCTGAGAGGTGAAAGATGGGTAAGCATGATAGTGGGGCAGCAGGAAAGGAGAAAGAAAAGTAAAAATTATATATAGGTATAAATATAGATCTATATCTATGTAAATATATAAAGAGGTGTATCTGTCTATATATGTACATATATGTAAATACAACAAGGAAGCAGATGGACTTTGGGTCTCTACTTAAATCTTACCTCAGTACAAGAATGGTTTGTTCTAATAATGTGGCACTATATGACACTCACCTTCCTGACGTGATCTCTGAAGACAAAAGGGGGGCATAAGCAAATGTGAAGAAAGCTGTTGGTGTCCAGCAATTTAAAGATAAAGCATCTGGGGTCTTAAAGACTTGGAGTTAAACAAGCAACCATCTAGCAGGGAAGCAACTAAGCCCACATGGAAGAAGCACACCAGCCTGTGTGATCATGAGGTGTCAATGGGAATAGGTATCAGAAGTTCAAAAAATAAGCAATCAAACTGATGATAAGGAGCATGGACAAAGTGGAGACCCCAAATCCACCTGTAAGATAATTGGGCAGTCCCTCACAGAAGGGCCACATGGAAGGGATGATAAATCCAGGGTGCAGTATAGCTCTGATGAAATGTATAACCTCTAGTTCTTTAACATTTCCTCCCCTTACTATCATGGTCTTTGTTTTACCACATTAACCTTGTTAGACCTCCATATGTCATTTGTATAATTAAGAGCATTTGATGCATGAAAGCCAAGCTAGATAAACCTTCAGAAATAGTAATGGGAGTAATGATTCCCTGAGGATAATGGAAGAGGGGTAGGGGGAGCTGATAGCAAGGATGACTGTATAACCCCATTCGAGGGGAGCTAATAATAGAATTATAGGTGAATGGATATATTGGATGGGGTAAGATATGGCAAAAACAAACAAAAGATAATAATATATAAGAATAATAAGGGTTCTTGGGGGTAGGGGGGGAAGGAGGGAATAAGAAAATGTTTGGAAACTGATTGTGGTAGCAATTGTACAATTATGCTTCATCTAATTGAACCATGGAATGTTAAAATATCTGTAAGAGCTCCAAAATAAAATGATTAATTAAAAAAAATTAAGCTGTCATATAGGTCATGATTTACATGTTGTTATTCTGATCTTATAGACAGTGACAAGGGGGTTTTAGAAGTTGTAAAAATAAAAATGAACACACCACCAAGCACTATTTTAAATAGCCATCCTCAATAAGTTGAAGTGTTATTAAGGAACAAATCATAAATTCATTTTTTCTACTTTTAGAGTTAATATCAGACGATTAATAATTTAAATCACTTAAAATCATAGGATAATATTTATACACTTACATTTAGCACTAGTTTACTCTTCTGAATTACTTCCTCAAAGGTCTCACTTGTTTCCTCTTTCCACAAACTAATGAAAGTATTCATTTCTTGGGGTACTGAGGGATCAGGACTTCCATCACATTGAATGTAATGTTTCCACTGTGGAGTAGAAATGTTTCAAGGTTCACACTGAGGTATATTCAATCATAGAAGAAAGAGACTTCTTTTTGAAGTATGAGGTTTCTTAAACCATGTTTTTTCAACGTAGGCAAAATATCATGGTACAACTTTAATTAGTGACTTGAGATATCACTAAAATATCCGAATTCCTCTTTATGAGACAAGTTTCTAATTCTCAACAATTCTGATCAATAGAAATTGTATTTATTTTTAAAACACACTATTTTTAGGAGTTAGCTTTGTTTTCCCCGCTAAATTTGCAAAATTTGCAAAAGCCAATATTGGCTTAATTTCTATATCCTCTATTATGACTAATTGCTAATCACTCTTGGACTTCTAAAACGAGTTCTTCCATTCATTTCGTATTCTGTACATGTTGTTATATGTTTCTATTCATATTATACTTAGAAGATTTCACAAAAAATACACCACAATCTCCCTTTTCCTTATTATTAGAGGGTTTCATTGTCCCCTGATAATCATCTATATTGTTTCCAAAGGTAAATTGTTTTGAGTCACATTCGAAATGCATTAAGCACAACCATGCAATCAGAGTCAAATGGTATCGTTTGTTTTTAGGATCGCGATAAATACTGAAAAATTGCATTGGATAAACCTTTATGTACTTTTTCATTAAAAATATGAGAATACTTGTCAGATGAGTATTTTTTTAGCACATACATTTAAAGTTTCTTGAGACTACAACTCCCTCTAGTGGTAACTAAGTATTAGCTTTAAAAAAATGTATATCAATTTTACCTGAGAAAGTAATCTATTTTCTTTTTTTAATTTCTCTGCTTCAAGATAACACTCTTCTAAAAAATGAAGTTCTTCAAGTTCTTCTTTTCTCCTTTCTAGATCCTGTTACATGGAGATAGATAAGCATGATCTGCTCTTTCATGTTAGCTTTACGTTTCACAAGTACCATCTAAATTTTACATATGCACATATAGACATATCCAAAATGACTACTATAGTTAGTTTGAATGTACTTACTAGTTCCAGAAGGATCCATCTAAAATATTGCTTTATAAAATGTAATACACAGACACCAGATAAGTCCTCAAGATTCTTTCTGAATCTGTAAGATCTGAACTATTTTCATAATCTATTAATGCATTATTTGCCTTTCCCACATGGTGAACTGTGATCGTTAAGTTTATTGTGCCAACTAGGCCAATAGGAACATGTGGGCGGAGCTTACTCAAGTCCCAGCTTGATTGGAGGATGACCGAAATTTAAAACAGCTGGCATCCCATCTCCCTCTTGCTCCCTAGTTCTCTGCCTCACCCTGTGTGCTACACTACCTGTGGATCTTGTGGCTAGAGCTTGAGGCTGGTGGATCCTGCCGCCTTGCATTGCTTCAGTTTGAGATCCCATCAGGGCCTGCTTGCCTAAGCTCCTGAGCTACTGACTTGTGACCCACCCTGCTCTCTGCTGCCTGTGGGCAGACTCTGCCTGCCTTACCTGAGGGAAGACTCCACCATCTGCTTACTTGACCTTGGACCAGGCAGCCCACGTGAACTGAAGGACTTCCAGTATATTAACTGTTGCATGAAAGTGAGTCAATCTGAGCCCTCTGTATTGCTGTATGGGCTAATTAGCTGTTATATTCCTTCTTGCTGTATAAACCTTATATAGATATAATCATAAGTGTCCTGGTTTTGTTCTCTAGAGAACCCTGCCTAACACATGAACATTTGTATTGATGGTACAAAAATAGTAAAATTGGTAACACCTTAGCATAAAATAAGGCAGTGGTCATAATTTGTACTGGTAGTTGTATTCTTCTAAGGGTACGCTTGAGGGCAAGGAATGAGAAGTGGGAGATGGAGTGGTTGGAGAGTTGGGCAATATGGGAGACAGGAGCTATCTTTATATGACAATGACTTTGATGAAGATAGTATTTTCCTTTGCTATGTGCTATGTAGCAATACTGCCTTCAGAAACACATGCAATTTGTTAAAGTATCCCCCATCTCAGTCTACATACTTTCTGAAGGCAGAGCTTAAATCTCTCTAGCTCTTCTCCAAAGAGATCTGCATTCTTGGATTGATACCAGGTCAAAGCAGCAGTGTGGGTATCCCCGAGGGTCTCAACGAACATTCCTTTCAAAGTTTTTAAGTTTGGGGAACAAAAAGAAGTCCAAAGGGGCAGGATCAGTTCTGCAGAGTTTCTCAAGGAAAATTTTTAAGATGCTCGTTAGCCTCTCAGAATGAGCAGTTGCATTATTAAGCTACACTCGCCTATTTGTACATAAAATATCATTTTACTTAAAAGAACAAATGCCTTGCCTAGGTAGTCATGCATATTTCAGTACCTAGAAGATATTCTTTTGAAAATGAGCAAGTTGAGCCTGCCACTTCCAGGTAACAATGTAAAGTATTTCCTGTCAATGATAAAATTCAAGTGTTGAAATTAAAAAGTAGAATTTTCACAAGCTTGTGTCTACCAGTCTAAGCTTGACAAAGTCACACTGCCTAAAAATGGTTCTATTTTGCATGGAGATGATGATCCTAATGCATGCAATTTCTGATAGTGAGTAATGGAATGTATCCATATTGAGAGGGAAGCAGAATCAATGCATGGCATAAAAACGTGCACGGAGATGCGAGCTCTACTCGGCACAGAAGAGAGGTGAATGGATTTTGAAGGAACACAGCAAGAAATGTTCACTCATATGCTTTCAGATTCCATATTTAAAAACTACCTTCTGTTGAATTTCAGGATAGTATCAAAGAGGAATATACACAATCATCTGTAAAACTATTAAAATATTCCTTCCCTTTCCAACTACTTATGTGTGTGAGGCCAGATTCCCTTCATATACTTCGATCAAAACAACACATTGCAACAGATGGAATACTGAAGTACATACAGGGATACAGCTGTCTTCTGTTCAGCTACACATTCAAGAGATCCAGAAAATGTAAACAATGCCTCTAGTCTCACTAATATATTTTTAAATGTAGTTATTTTTAAATATGCTACACTAACATATCTATGTTTATTAATGTTTACTTTTTATCACTGTTTAATGTGCATTAAGGTAACAAATGTTTTAAAAGTTCATTTTCATTTCTAATATGGTATATGTTGTTCGTGTAAACCACATAAATAAACCAAAGCTCCTGTGGCCCTTAATCATTTCAATAGTTCAGTAGGATTTGACTAAAATGCTTGAGAATTACTGATCTAAAAAGTTCTGGTAAAAAAGAGATGTGAAACTATTAGAGGGCAGGTAGAATTCAAGTGACACTTGCACAGCATATGTGGGGACTGTGTGTGCGTTCAAGTAAAAAGCATCAAAATATTACTATAAAATGATAGAAACCTTTATTTATCAAAATGGTAAGCTATTGTTTCTGAACATATCCATCGTGGTCTATACACTTTCTGAAGGCAACGCTTACATCTCTCTAACCTTTCTCCAAAGAAATCTGCATTCTTGGATTGATACCAGGTCAAAACAGCAGCTTGGGTATCTTCAAGGGACTCAAATAGTGTTCCTTTTCAAAGCTTTGTAAGTTTGGGGAACAAAGAGAAATCCGAAGGGCCGAAATCATTTCTGCAGAGTTTCCTAAGGGAAATTTGCACGACAGCTCTTATTAGCCGCTAAGAATGAGCAGTCGCACTGTCGTGACAAACGATTCCTCAGCACAACTTTCCTAGCTTTTTTTTCTCACTGATGCAGTTTTCAATTTTCTTAACACTTTTTTTTGTAATAAGCCCCCGTGATCATTCTGTGTCCTTTTCACGATTACTCCTGGAGAATTAAAAACAAACAAAAACAACAACAACAACAAAATCACTGTAACCTGTGATCTCTCTGTTTAGAGTTCATCTTTGAGGTCTTGCCAACTATATGCTTGATGATTCTGAAAACTGTTTTATGTGAGGCAGCATTCCGATAAATCTCCTGTAAAGCTTCAATGATTTGCCAAGGTGTCCACTTGAGTTTTGGTCAATGTTTGGTAGTGGCCCTGACCAACTAAAACAACTGTAATACTAAGAAAACTCAACTGCAGCCATCTATTGATCACAGAGGCATGTTTAAATGCTGTTGGTTGAGAAATAGCAGATGCATATAGGTATGGGAACCTTAGTAGCAACATTTTTACTTACCCTTGTGTTTTGTGTGTGTGTGTATCTGTGCGTGTGCATGCCTCTCACATTGTCTGTACGAGAATTTGGGAACAGTAGCGTAATGGTTAAAAGAATCCCAAGCCATGACTCTGCCACCTATGAACGGCTCAATTTCTCTGTGCCTCAGTTCCCTCACTAATGAAGTAGGCATAATTAAGTACCATGTATAAAGTAATTAGGTATTTACTTTTGCTTCAAGTGCTTGCCATTTTTCTTTCTCAATACGTTTTGTCTCAAGTCTCTCCATTTCTTCTTTTTCGTGTTTCAAACGAGCTTCCTCTAAAGAACAACAACAAATTCTCAGTGAATAAGCCCCTATTTTTAAAGCATTTAAACTTAGTCCAAATATTTTTGAGATGTAGTTGTGTTCATAAGGGTCAGCAGACAGACCTGGAACTATCTGTCTCTCTCTTTTTCCCCCCACCCTATGTCTATCTATGTAAGATAGGCCAGACAAACAATCTCAAGGAGAAGATAAACTGGCGGTCCAGTGGGGGGTGGGGGACATGGGACAGGAGGGGGCAGGGCATGGGAGCAAGGAGCCAACAAACTGAGGAATAAGGGAACAACAAGAAATCTAAAATTGATGGCAAGGAGGGTGTATAATTCCTGGTCGCGTCTGATCAAGTGCAATGTATCCAAGAGGAATTACTGAGAGCTGAATGGAGGGTGATAGTGGGACAGGAGGAATGTGAAAGGAACTAGAGGAAAGAAGTAGGAGGTAAAATCTATTTATAGAGATGTAGGTATTATATATGTAAATATGTAAATTTATAATGAATGGGATAGAGGCCAATGTACATATATGTAAATATGTAAATTTATAATGAGTTAAGTATTAAGTTTTAAGTTAAGTATTAAGTTATAAGTATTAAGATAGCAGAAGGGCTTTGGGTCTCTACTCAGGGCCTCCCTAACACAAGAGTACTTTGTCCTAATAACCTGGCATTCTTTGATACTCACTTTCCTGAGATGATTGCTGAACACAAAATGGGCACAGAAGCACATGTGGTGAAGAAAATGGATGGTGCCCAGCTATCAAAAGATAATAGTGTTGGGGTCCTAAAGGCTTGAAGTTAAACAAGCAGCCATCTAGCAGGGAAGCAAATAAGCCCACATGGAATCAGCACACCTGTCAGTGCAATCATGAGGTGTCCACGGGATCAGGTGTGCTTCCATGTGGCCTTGGTTGGTGCCTCACTTTGATCTCTGCTTGTTTGAATCCACAAATGTTCTTAAAACTAAAAGCTACAACCATGTGAAATGATTTTGGGTATTTTTGCAATCATTTTTTGGTATTTTTATTAGAAAACACTTTTATTAATCTTTAATTGATATTTTGATGTAGATAAAAGTTCTGTTTTAATTTGACAAATAAATATTTTTTACACTAGAAGAACTTAGGGCACTGTATGGCTTGCTAGTAGACAGTTCCTATGTTTAATTTGTTTCAGAATTGGTATTGCACAATCAGAAGTCACTTTATCATTAAATATAAACACTTCAAGATAGTGCTCCTGGACTTAGAAAATTAAAATATAGTTAAATTTAAATATCAGATAAATAATGATGTTGGTTTATCCAAACTTCAAACTTAATTTAGCATCCTGTGTTGTATTTGGTAACGTTGCCTCAGAATTATCTGGAAGTGATTAGTGTGCACTAACTTAGATCTGACTGGTACTCCATTCAAGAGTAGTTATCTACTATAAGACAGATTAAATTAGAAAATAAACAATTTCAAAAATGCATTGACCCAATTACAGAAATGCTGATCTATGACTGGCACGAGCGCTATAGGAAACAGCATCACTCTGCATGATCCACACCTTCCTCTTTCAGTCGCCGCTCCTCCTCCTCTTGTAGCATCTTCAATCTTTCGGCCTTGGTGATTTTATTTTTCTTCTTGGCAGACTGAAGAAAGGTCACCCAAAAAAAGGAGGGTGGGGTGGGGAGGAAAGATTATTAACATGTAGCCAAATCAGTTAAAATTTCATCTCTGCAAATAGTAATCATAAAGTCCTTTGCTTTCAGGAAACCATTCTTTCACTCAGCAAATAAGGCTACCTATTGTGGGCAAAGGCCTGGCACTCTACATCTGAAAATTAGCCAATAAACCCTATGGATCACAGCAGAAAATTATCTGATAGGCTGCTGGGAAATAAGCTTCCCTATATTGGAAGGCACTCCACAACAGTACCACCAAGGACTCAAGCCGAAGGCCAACATTTCATTATGTTGTGTGTAAGGGCTGCCATGACAAACGGAAAAGACTGAAGTGGTCAAGGGTTTAATTTTGCTCAGATGCACAATCAACGCTCATGGAAGCAGCAATCAGGAACTCAAAACTGGCATATTGTATTTGGTGAATCTGATGAACAGGCTCTTGATACAGTATTTTCAATCCCTGGACAACAACTAAGAAAGACCAGAGAAGGATTGGTGCATTTGAAATATGGTGCTGGTAAAGAATATTGGAAGTACCGTGAACTGCCAAAAGAGAAGTAGAAAGAGATTATACGCTCTTTGATGAATTTTTGCTGCTATCAATGCGGTTGCTCTGTAAGCACGGGAATCTGATATCCTGGTAGTTTTCTGAATAGAGTTGTCGAGAAAGAAAAATCATGTAAGTTACTGGCTGATTTATGAACATGGAAACCCAGAATGCTTGCTCTCTTAACCAACAGTGAAAAAATACAGACCTCACAAATGAACAGGACAAAAGACACATCTTGTGTGACTTGCTCTTTCTAGCCTGAGCCAACGGTTCTCAGGAATCTAATGGTGTCTGCAAAGACAGGCAAAATAAATTCAACAACAACAACAAAAAAGTACAGCCAGAATGCTCCTCAGAGGCAAGGACGGTGAGACTTTGTCTCACAAACTTTGGACATGTGGTCAGGAAAGGTCAGGCCCTGAAAAAGAACATCATACATGGTAACGTCGGCAAACAAGAGGAAGCTCTTCAACCACATGGATTGACACAATGGCTGCAACAACAGGCTCCAGCATAACAACTGTGAGGGTGGTGCAGGATGGCAGTGTTTCCTTCTGCTGTGCTTCAGGTCTCTACGAGTCAGAGCCAACTTGGCGGTGCACATAAAAAATTATGTTCACTAGAGGACTGTCTGGAAATAAACATGCCAATTACTCAAGGACAAGGGTGACAGTGACAAATATAAACTTAAATTTTCTCATTTTGACTTTCCACATCTTTCAAATAGTGCAAATAAAATCTGCGTCGTTGTTGTACAAAGCAATGATGACACGCCACCTTACACTGACAATGACAGCCAAATTAAAACCAACAAACCAACAAACAGAAAACAACAAATGTTGGAGAGGGTGTGAAGAGACCGACACCCTCGTACACTGCTTGTGGGACTGTAAATATGTACAACCACTGGAAAGTGATATGGTGCTACTTCAATCCACTGGGAATAGAAATTCCATCAGATCCAACAATCCCTCTGATGTGTGCATGCCCTCCAGAAGAGCCGTAGCCTGGACAGCATATGCACACATGTGCTCATCACAGCACTGCTCACAATAGCTAGAAGACAGAAACACCCCAATGCCCATCTGTAGAAGAATGGGTACAGAAATTCTGGAACATCAACACAGTGCATGCATCACTGAAAAATAGTGTTGAAACCACGAAGCACTTTATGGCATAGATCAACCTGGAGAACATAACACTAAGGGAAATTAGTTGATCATACAAATATTGTATGAGACCACCGTTATAAGAAGCACACATACACAAAGACAAAGATTTTCATACCAAGGGGCACAGACTTTGGAAGTTACCAAGTGAGTGCAGGCAAGTGGGCGACTATGAAGTGAGAGACAAGAGGAGTGACAGATATTAACTTGGGTGAAGGGGACGACAGGAACCCGTCAGAGGAATATGAGGGAGGGGTAGGGTAAGCTACCGAGAGATTTGAAGATCTGAAATGTAAACCCACATATAGTTCACAGTTTAAGATTGTTTTAAGAAATCTTTTCTTGGTAGGGGGGGGTGTGGTGGCAGCAGAAGGTGATGTTTTTATCTTTTATAAATCATTTTACTGAGGGTTATTACAGCTCTTATAACAATCAATCCATAAATTGTATCAAGCACATTTGCACATATGTTGTTGCCGTCATCATTTTCAAAACATTTTCTTTCTACTTGGTATCAGTTCCTCCTTTTTCCCTCCCTCCACGTTTCCGATGTTCGTATCCCTGGATGCGTGTGTGTGTGTGTGTGTCCATCATTACAATTGGTCCCTCCTTTCCCCCCCTTCTCCCACAAACCGTCACCCTAATGTCATGGTATCCCTAGTTCCATTACTGTTCCTGAGGGTTGTATCTGTCCTGGATCCCTTAAAAAATCTTATGCATGATCCAGAGGTGACAATGACAAAACTCAAATATGGTGAGGAGAAAAGCATCAGAGCAAAAATTATGAACACCCAATTTGTGGATGGCTATGGGGGACAGTGAGAGCCCAAAACCCATCTTCAGAGCATCTGGTCAGACTGAGGCACTGGCAGATCCACTCTAGCCACAGGCAAGAGCCTTGATCAGCCTTATTAATAGGAAGAGACCATTGTCATCTAGATTATGTCAGACTGAACTCAACACTTGACCAATTGACCACCCTATAGATGTGACCTGACTTTGGTCTGGGTGCAAATATCTTTTACTGGCTGCATGACAGAAATTTATTCCCTGACTTTTTTATTATTGTAGGAGGGTTTTTGTCTTCTTGTGCATTATTAGTATTTTCTTCTGTATATTATTATATTTTTACCCTTACCACCTTAGCATGATTTTGTTTTCTATTGCTTTCTTTTCAGTGCCCCAGCTATGAAGCGCACAGATAGTGAATGTATAATGATAATAACTGATACAAGCGGATATAGGGAATATGGGCAGGTGAGGGTGGATAGAAGGGGAAAGGGGACTTGGGGAGTAATTAATGAAGATGGGACAGGGGAGAGAGGACTAGAATGGATTGTGGTTGCATGAATCATCTTAAAGGAGATTTGTCCATGGGGGAGGGGGAATGCTCTAAAATTAATGTGGGTGTGATTGTACAATTCTCCATAATATGATTGAAAGATTGAACTATTGTGTTATATGATATGTAAATTACTTGCAAGTAAACCTGGGGGGGAAAGATAATTACACTAATAACAATGAGTACAAGGAAGAAGAAAATGTTCTAAATTTTATTATGGTAATGATTGTGCGACTCTTGATATGGTTGAACTATTGAATTGTATGGTATATGGAAGTGCCAATAAAACTGTTTCAAAAATAATCTTATGCAGTTGTAAAGATTAAATTAAAATAAGTAAAAGCAATTTGAAAACTGTAAATCTCTATAACAATGAACAGTATCTCTGTGACTAACAAATATACAGTGTCCTATTGCAAGTTTGGAGGAAAAGGAGGTTATTTTCAACAATGGGAATACAGTAAAAGTTTTATCAAGTAGATTGTTTTAAGTTGGAAGGAGCTTAACATTCAAATATATGGGAAGATATCCCAAGATAAGGGACATGAAAGTTCAACATATACATTTGGGAGAACACTAAATACACCAGCAAGTTATATGGACCCTGAGGAAAACGTCAAGATGGGATAAAGGTGATAAAGGACAGAAAGAAGGTCAGAGCCTATGTTAAAGGGCCTGGTCCTTGTTCTGGGCCACTAAATGGCTCTAAAGCTTTTTGAGAACTGTGACAGCTAGACAACTATGATTTTGAAAACCTAGCCTGGTATCAGGGAGGAAATGATTATAAAAAAGATAACATGTTGGTGACTATGACCAATTGTCTAGGCAAGCACTATTGGCATAATGGGTTACACATTGGGCTGCTAACTACAAGGTCAGCAGTTTGAAACCACCACTCGCTTGGTGGGAGAAAGATGAAACTTTCTACTTCTTCAAGAGATTGTAACTTCCAAGAGTTACAATCTTGGAAACCCACAGGGACAGTTCTACTCTATCCTATAGGGTCGCTATGAGTTGGAATTGGCCCTATATTCCAAGTGGGTTGTTGAGGCAAGCACTAAGGATATCTAATAGCTTGGTGATTAATGTAGATGGCCAAAGAGTCAATAGTTCAAGCATATCAGCCATTCCGAGGGGGAAAATGAGGCAGTCTGCCTCTGTAAAGATGCACAGCTTTGGAAACCCTATGGGGCAGTTAGACTTTGTCCTATAGAGTCATTGTGAGTCAGAATCAACTGGTCTGCAGTGGATTATGGGTCAGAGCAAGCACTAATGAAGGCTTAAAGGAAGGTCTTGACCAATGACATGCTGAAAGGAGAATCGGCCTAAAAATATTTTAAGTTAACGTATTTGATAATTATTAAAACTGGAGGCAAAGCAAGGAAGAATTCAGAAGAGTCTGAAAGAGGAAGATTGGTAGTCCACAAAAGTCAATTTGAAAGAGGAATTATTCAAAGAATTTACACGTGCACATCATTACAATGAAGTGTTAGTGTAGTACCCAGGCCATGTTTGCAGGCACCACATTTGGTTTGGCAATGAGGCAGGACCTACAAAGACAAGTCTGAGGACCATCTATGCGATAGTCATCTCCCCTTCCATTTTTACTAAAGTTAATAGTATATATATATTTTAAAAAAGAGACCACAGTCTAAATAGGAGAAGAATCAATGGGAATGGTTGATACTTGGAATACACATAGTGAATTTCAATCGACCATCTTCTCATTTCACATGTTCCAGCTCCAAGATACTATGCCTAGAATCCTGTAGCTTTTATTAGCATCTCCAATCCATCGCTTCTACCATTTTTCACTGTTTATCAGCCCTCGTCCTGTCCTCCTTTCTTCTTTCCCTAGGGTAATTCCACAGTTCACCACCATAAACACGCTTTGACACACCTCCTT